TGTGGGAATAAATATTTCAAAAACAGGTCAATAATTTTGTGAATTCAAAGATAGCCCATCATGATGAAAGCTCCAATTGAAAAAAACTGGCTTGATCTGAGTTGAATTCTGAGAAAAGGATTTAGAGACTAACGCTTCGGCAACCTTGAGAAGGATGTGCCATGTCACAGGAGGAAGACTCTTTTGAGAAGCTCTTTCATGTTTATAATTTCATACGAACCTCGATAGGAAAGGAAAAAAGGAACTGCCTAAGCCATGAGGATTGTCAGCTTCTTAGTCACCTTCACCTGTTGTGATTACGTGTCTTTAACAATTCAGGTTAATATTTCCCCCGAATTTGTATATGAATGTTAAAAAATATTGTGGTTAAAAAATGGTTCTGAGGTTAAATAAGTTTGGAAAGCTCAGGGTTAAAGAAAATTTACCTGGCCTCTTGATTCCAGGTCTTCTCAGAGACCTTAGTATGTTAATGGACATTGGAACCTTCGAGGGGGGTCCACAGGACACAGACTTCCCAGTTGGATTTGACCAGGAACCTTGTTTTTCAAGAACTATCTCTTGAGATAGGGGTTTGACAGACTCTACCTTGAGAAATGCTGATCTAGGGGAGCTTGGACAAAGTTTGTCTTATTGACTTGGAATTAACAGAATATAGTAATCTATCATCATCCACAAGATGGTGAAAATGGGTATGGGTGTGTGGGGTGGGAAGTTTCTAGAAATTTCTGTGGTTGGTAAAAACCCTTTTGGCAAAGCGAAAGTTTCATAGCCAATAGGGAGTCAGAAGGAAAAGCTAACAAAAGCCATTAATACTTATTAAGATATTAAATTTCCAAACAAACCATATTTGTAGATGTTCAAAATCCTCTCTGAGACAACTGGTGAAATTTGCCTTTTGTGGACCTCAGAGTTTTCATCTGTAAAATGGGGATAGTAATGGCCACCTTACAGGGTGGTTGCAAGGACTGAAAAAGACAATGTACGCAAGAGCACCAGCACTTGTAAGAAGCACACAGATGGCAGTTTCGTCCTCATTATGATGAGTGTTTCTTGGAAGTACTTGAAGTGGCACCTTCCCTTTGTTGTACAGGTTTTCAAGGAGGTGGTGGTAGGTTCATATCAAGATCATCTAAGGGAACATTTTTAAAATATGCATGCCCAGACCCTACTCAGTCCTGGTGAATCACAATTTAGTGGTGGTAATGGGGAAAGATGTATGTACATTTTTAAAAATTTTTTCCCCATGGTGGTTATACTACATCCTAAACACCTGTAATGTATTTGGGGAAAATCCCTAAATTGCAATCCCACCTCCCCTGCAGTAGTCCTGGGATATGTTCCTTGGAATAAAAGGTTTCTGTGGATAAATGTTTAGAAATGCTACATACTAGTACCTGCCCCCTCTTTTCCTTGAGAAGTTCTGAGAAGTTCTCCTGAGAAGATCTGAAATGCGCAATATTTGAAAACTTGTAACCTGTTGTCTTCTGGTCTAACTTGACCTTGCAACATGTATTTTTCTTGTAACTCTCATCAACATCTGTGTTCAGCACATTTGAGAAATACTACAGTAGAGTTAGCCAGAAGAGAATTTTATCTATTTTCAAAAATCATTTTGTACCAAAGACATAAGGGAGAAGCAAGGTAGCAAAGAACAGCCAAAATTCCTCCTCCCCCGGGAGCTGGCTAAGCCTACTTTTACTCTTCCTGCCTCTTGCTACTTATATGTGGGAAGAATATTGAAAATGATAAATGTGTGCTTTCAAGTAAGCACCTCCGGGTAAACTCAAGGTAAGTCAAAGGACCAGGGAGATGCTATGGAAAACCTTGAGAGCTGACTCGGGACAAACCTGGCTTTGAATCCTGGTTCCAACACTTCCTGGCTCAGTGACCTTGGGCAAGTTACTTAACCTCTTGATGCCTCAGTTCCCCGTGTGTATAAAGGGGACAATAATAGCACCTATCTCACTGGGTTTTTGTGAGGATAAATGAGATAATTTATGCAAAGCCTTTAGTAAGGACTTAATAAAGGTGTGTTATTATTACTACCATTACTATTATATAGAAAGGGAAAAACACACGAGCAAAGTGAGGGAGAATCAAGAACTGAAACAGAATAGAGAACTGTAGAAACCTTTAAGCAAATAAATCTTCCTCCCTTCACAAATGAATTTACCATTTTTTTTTTCTTTTGGTAAATCATCATGCCAAATACCCTGTGAGAATTCAGGGTTAGAGTTTGAGAGGTGTTATTAAATTGGCTGGTCTATAGCACTGGAGTGTGAATGACCCTTTCATCCTGCTCTTCGTCTAGTCAAATCCCAAATTATCTGACTAATTAACATACAAGAAACAGCTTGGAAGCTGCTGTGAAAGACAAAAAGAAAAGTGGCTGGTTGAAAGTCAACACCACAGAAATAACTGCCCAAGAGAGAGTAAAAAGGACTCAGAATTGTGATAAGGATGTTGGGATGGGGAGGCTGAAGGGGAGATTTGTAAGCAAATACAAGTTTCACCATTCCCAAAACTTTTTTTAAAAATGAAATAGAATAGAAAGTCTCAGAGCGCTTTGCGTGTAGTATGGCTGAGGACTCAGTTTTATGCACTCACGTGCATATCCGCATGCACATGTTATATATTATGGTTATGAGTTAAAACCGTATGAGTTATGGTTAAAAAAGCTTGAAAACCTCTGCTCTAGAGGGCAGGCCATAGGGCCCTGAGCCCAGAAATAGATCGTTAGTGCATGTCTAGAACGGCTTTGTGAACTTACCCCAGAACCTGCCCTGCCTTTTTGTAAACACTGGGGTGATTTGGTGAATGTGGCAAAGACAAGCAAAGAAGAGAAAACTCAGACACCAAGCCCCAGTGCAGTGATTGACTCAAGTAGAGCCTGGAACCCAATGGGAAGACTGAGACGCCACAATAACAGTAAAAAGCAAGATAGTGGTGTGGGAGATCAAGATTTGGCCACCCTGAAATCTATCTCTTTACCTTGGTTGTTTTCTCTAGGGACATTTGACCTCCCCCACTAACTAAAGAATTTGACATAGTAACTCCTTCCTGGAACTGATCTATCATGATGGCTGTAAAGATAACGTAGGGTAAATGTTACAATAGGAAAGGCACCAACAAGCCCATCTTATCCGAAGTTCTGTCTCTCTGGCCACATTCTCTGGATGACCCTGTGAAGAGTTGCCAGACAATCATTTACATTTATAAGGGGAATCTCCATTTGTAAAGGTATCTCCCTCTCTGTTTGGAGAAGAGAGGGGGATGAGCTCATTTCTAGTGACTTACCAATGTGGAAGGTGAGGCCTTGAGCTACATAATAAACCTTACTCTTGTTTACTGTGCTTTAGTGGTAATCTCCTGTAACTGACTCCCCCCACCCCCAAAATCCTCCTTTGTCATTGGCTGAAAATGATATTTAAGACGAGAATTTCTGCTATGGTGTTGAGAAACGCAGTGTCCCTGCTTTCTCCTATGTATACATGTTATTAAACTTGGTATTATTTTCTCCTGCTAACCTGTCTTGTTGATTATTTGGCCAGCCAGAAGAACCTTAAGGGAAAGGGCAGAGGGAGATTCACTCTCTTCCCCCTACAGTGGTGATGTAGTCATGGTGGTTTCCATTCCTGCTGTAGTAACTGCAGCCAAGGTAGCAGCAGTAGACCATTTATTGAGTATATACTATGCACCATACCCCATATTTTGTTCTTTATTTCATTTGAATCTCACAGGAAAACTGTGGGATAGCTATTATTATTTCCATTGTAAGGATGAGAGAACAGACTTCTGAGAACTGAGTCAATCACACAAAAGGGATTTTATGAGAACTATTCATCCAGTGCTTTGAGAGAGGCAAAGTGAAGTATGATGTGTTGTCCTCTCTTGAGGAGTTTTAATCTAGATAACTGAACTCTAGCTCATGAATCTCTGAGGAATGAAGCACTTGCCTTCTTTCTCCTAAATCCCCTGACTCATCCATTTCTCTCCTGGCAGAGTGAAGAAAAGTGATAGAATTTTATTCTTTTCCATGGGTAGAGAAAGGTACCAGATTGGAAATCAACACTCACAAGGGGAATTTGAATTGAAAATTGGAATATCACACCCAGTTTCAACCAGGTAACACGTATTGCCTACTAACACCATGGCTACTTACTACCATTTACTGGTCTCTTACTATGTGCCCATCTTCACGCTAAGTAATTCATGTACATATCTTCTAATCTTCAGAATCACCCTCTGGAGAGGGTACTATTTTTGTCTGCATTTTCCAGATGAGGGACTGAAGGTGTGAGAGGGTAATAACTTGCCTAAGGTGAGACATCTAATAAACGGTGGGGTTGGACTTCGAGTCCAGCTCTGTAAGACACCTGAGCCTGGGCTCTTAACCACCAAACGATAATGGTTGTTTGAATAATGATGTCCAAGGCACCACACATATAAATATGGGGATTAAATAAATGTGTCAATGATCGCTCCTTGTCCTCAAAGAGGTTTCAGTACTGTTGAGAAGGTAAGATAGATATACGCAAATGGAAAAATAGTTAATAATACTACACTGAAGCTTATGCTGGGGTCAAAGGAGTACTAGAAAAGATTTATGGAGAGAGAAATTGCTGGAGCTGCACTGGGAGGATGAGCAGGGATTGGATAAGGGCAGAAAGGGAGTTGGTCCCAAGGGTAACTGAACAGACATTAGATTCCTTGGTTTAGAGCAGAGAGCACAGTTTCTTCAGATGAAAGAATGGGTCTCCATTTAGGAACTCTGAGGCCTTCAGCAAGTTATTTAACTTGCCTAAGCCTCAGTTTCCCCATCTGTAATAGGGGATAATCCCCCTCTCAGAGCAGCAGGGAGAATTAGGTGCACCTAAGTGCTTGGGAAAAAGAGGCATCCACTCTTTTCCCTTCTATCCACCAGATTAAGTTCAATTTTCCAGTAGAGTTGGCTTACTTCTTCCCTTTGAGCTCACAGTTGATCTTAGAAAGAACCTTACCTGCTGTGAGAAGCCCCTCACAACACGCCTTTGTTTGAGGTTTGTCTCTCCATCCAAGTTGGCGGTTTCTAGGTGGCAGATCCCGCTGGGGTCCGAGGAGAAGAGGAGGAGGATGTCTGCTGGGATGATCTCATTGCACTGCATCTGGACGAAGTCTCCCACACACACATCCTTCCAGCGCTTCTGCACGTAGCTCTGCTCTTTTCTTGGGTGGGAGCAAGACAGGGGTCAGAGTGAGTTTTAAGGTTCTCCAGAAAATTAATCAGTGAATGGAGGAAGGTCCCACCTGCACCTAAATATCCCCCAGTCAGCCTGTCACAGACTGCTCTGTATTCTACCTTGCCTAAATGACCACCATTATAATCTCTCTAGAAGAGCTGAGCATGATCTATATATTGCCATTAGTAAGTGATCTGTCTTTATGATCATTTAGAGTTTTGATTGACTGCTGGCTGTTGACTGGGTACTGTGCTCAGCCCTTTCTAGCGAGAGAAAAATTTGAAAGGAGAAGGTGACTACACAGTCATGTTAACAAAGCACTTTCGATATACATTTCCCAGAATAGCCAGTTGTCATCACAGAAAGCAAGGTTGCAAGGAACTGGGGTATAGGAAAGACGGTTTCTGATTATGGGAGGAGAGGGGCAGTCAGAAAGGTGAGGTTATAGGCCATTGTTTAGGAAGATCTAGAGTGGTGCTGAAGGAGAAAACTCTGGACAGTCAGGGAATTAGGAAGATGGCACCAGGAACTTGGATGAGATGGGATCTACTGTAATCATAGAATCAGAGGGCTGAAGAAATCTGATGAAATTATACACTTTCTTTTCCCATGCAATTTATCAAGCTCAGATAATAACAGTGGCAGCAAACAATTACAAATTTGGCACTTCTAACACGCCAAGCACTAGTTTAATTAATACTTCACTTACTTGCATAATAACCCACTGGAGTAGATATTATTATACCCATTTCACAAATGAGGAAATTGAGGGTCCAAGAAAAATTTCCCAAGGTCATACAAAAACAGAGCTGGAACCTGAGATCGGGTCCAACTTGACACCAAATCCTACAGTTTTCACTGCTCAGATATCCTACCTCCTCGAAAACATTTCCCTGTCTCCTCTCAGATGGTATCACAGCCTCAGCTGTTCTACCACCAGCAAAAGGACCCGCTCCTACCCAAGGCAATACTTTCCATTTCAAAGAGCTCTCATTTTACAGTCTTCCTTCTGCTTCGCCAAATATTGAACTAATTCTGCTCTCCCAGGCAATTGGATCTATTTCACCTTCCATAATTTTTAAAAATATTTTAAGGCATTCATCAGGTGTCCCATGAAGCCTTTTAGACATGCCAACTCAAATTTAACTTTCTAAGTGCCCTCAAAGATTCTTGTGTGACACAGTTTTAAGATCTGTTCTGGAGGTGTGGGCTCTTCTGCCTAAGGCTGCATTTGGAAATGTTCCTCTTGAATGTGGGATTTGGAACCAAACCATGTGGCCTTTGTATCTGAGCCCAGCTGGCTTGCGGCCAGATGCCCCTGAGCCCCGCTGGGCCTGGAGAGGCAGGTTCTCCTTTGCTGTTTTTCTCCATGAGGCTGAGCCCTCTGGGCATGTTACTGTTTCTGTTTCCACTGGAGTCTGAGCTGCCCTGGGCATGACATGCACCCTCTTCCACAGAGACAGAGATGTGACTGGAATTTCACTTTCTCCTTTGACTTCACAAATGTGCCTGAAGAGGACAGGGGTTCGATGTCTTCCTCCCTTCTTTGGGACCCTCTGGAGAACTCTAAGCAAGCCTTCCTAAGACCCCATCTTCCTTGTCATAAAAGATCCTTGCATAGGACTCCCCCAGTCCCCTGAAACGAATGTGCTTCCCTTTGGGAGGCAAAAGGAAGATCTGATCAGAGTCTATAAATTAATCAGGACACCAGAATTGGGGCACAGCCTTGCAACTCTGAAGACCCAGAGTTCTGTACAAGTGCCCGTGGTTCTGAGAACACAGTGTAGTGGCCACTGGTTAAATGAATCCTTGGGCAATGTCGTCCAAACAGCTACTAAGACCACTTCTGAGGATTCAGAGGCAATGTATCTATAGCATTGAGTAATAATTCTTTCCATGGAAAAGTATGTAACAGGTTTCTATGCACTTTTCATTCCATCAGTTTATTTTAAGCTTCCCCTCTGCCCCACATCACTGTTTTTTCCATGAAGAATAGGGACAGCCACCCCAGATTTGTTTCTCAGTGTCATTTCAGAAATACATTTGTCTGTTTGTTTATTGATGTGTTTAGGGTGGATACTCCTCCATCAGGAATGTCACTGCTATTGTCAAATAATTTATGGTCCAGCTGCTGATTCAGGGAAGGATTTGTATTTTTCTTCAGAGCAGGTCTGGGAACACCTGCTAAATGTTCAAGCATAAGACCTCTTAAAGGAATTGGAATGGCCCACACTCTCCATGGCAAATGAATCTCATAGGGTGAAGGAGGGACTGGCTTTCTCTATTGCCTTTTTTTTTTCTTTTTGAGGGAAAAAAAAGGATTTTTAAATATTACAGCAAAATTGCCCCAAAAAGATTATCACTCAACATGTCTACATTCTTCCTCACCTCCCCTCTTTGACTTGCGTGCTATTGGATAATGCCTTTGGGAATGGTGGGGTGTCAGTTGATTGCTATAATCTCAGCATTCCACCTGGTATTTGAGATTGGATTTAGGGAGGACACCTTTGACTCTGAGCAATCTCCCAAATGCCAACACTTCCAGAGCACACTGGTTCAGAAGGTTTGCAAATGCGAGTTGCGAGTGCTGCATACATAGGCATATCAAAGGCAAGGCCAACACAGCTCCTCCCATGAACACTGAATCTCATTCTTCCCCCTTCTGATAAAGGACTTCACTGCTTATCCTGGGATGTAAGGTGATGGAAGATAGAGGGTTATGGAGATGAGCTTATGGTATATACATTTTTATGAACAGCCTCTTCTGTGAGCTGGGCTGGAGTGTTGTCTTGTCAATTCCCATCATGATGATAGACAACATAAGGCAAAGGAGTCACTCAAGAAGCCGTAAGTCAGACCAGTTTCTGTCTTCTTTCTATTATTCCTTGGATCCAGGGAGGTCATTGTTGTACGGGTAGCAATTGCCTCTGTCTTTCCCTTAGATGTAATCCTCTTTTCCTTCGGATGACATGCCATGGTGAAGAAACATTCTCAGTCCCCGTTGTAGGCTTACCCTCCCCAAGTCAGAGATCGCCCATCTCTGAGGCTTGTGCTTTGCAAATAGAGGCACACATACTTCCAGACACGCAACCTGTTGTGTGTATCTGGGAGCCTGAAGCTATGGGATCAACATGATTTTGAGGTGTTAGTTTTAAACAAAGATTTTTGTATGTGTGTGGGGATATGGTTTTGTAATTTATCTGGTACATAATTTGAAGCATTTTATTTATATTAATGTAAACATAGTTATGTTATGGAATCAGAGTCAAATTTTACAGGAATTTTAAGGATAAAAAATGACCTCAGGGTCATTTCCTTCTTGTCCTGGGCCACTTTGTGCTGGTCTCTTGTCTCTGGGGCTCATTTGTCTCCTCGACTGTCAGGAGCACGTCTGTGGAAAACGCAAGGATGCACAGCCTGAGGGCGTCCAGCCAGAGGGAGCGATGAGTGGCTGAATCCATCTGACGCAGAACAGCGGCGTGCTCCTGCATTGAGTGACGCCCAGACGCGGCCAGCAGCCGGCCGGGAGCCGCCTGAGGAAGTCATTCCCTTGTTAATCCAGCACGTCCAAACAGCTGCCCCAGGTGGACGCGGCCACACGCTCTTGATCATCTCCCTGCTCAGTGAGTCCACACCTGGGAACTGAGTGCTATTTTAGTTTCATGGGATGTTCACTGCTGTTTAAAAATAAGACAAATCAACGGGGCTTGGGATGAAGACTCCATCTGGCAGATTCCGCCTCGAGGAGAAATTAAGTGGTGCAGCGCTAAGTGACTTTCCGAGAGGAGAGAGGGCTTATTAAGAGGTAAATAAATAGCAAGAGAGGTTTGTAACCAACTGGATGCCATGGGGAAGCAGGTGAAAGGGGGAAATGGAGGAGGAGAGGATGCTTAAGGCTCGGTTTCTCAAGTATGTGGGTTTTATAAAAATGGTTTCAAGGAATCAGAGTAGAGGGAATTTATCAGGAGAATTAGTCTGTGGGACTCCCTATTCAAAATAGGATGATGAGCTGTCCTGAGCTGTCCTTCAGGGAGCTCAAACATCAGGCCCAGAATGGTCAGTCTGGCTGCCCCACTGACCATGGTTTTTCCACACGTGTCTGGTGTGGGGACAACCAGACATCCACATGCAAAAAAACGAATCTACATGCAGAGCTTACATCCTTATTAAAAATTAATCAAAATGGATCACAGACTTAAGGGTAAAATGCAAAACTATAAAACTGTTAGACAATAGCGTAGGAGAAAATCTAGACGATCTTGGGCATGGTGATGACTTTTTAGAGACAACACCAAAGGCACTATCCATGAAAGAAATAATTGATTTAAGCTGAACTTCATTAGAACTAAAAACTTCTACTCTGTAAAAGACAATGTTAAAAGAATGAGAAGACAAGCCACAGACTGGGAGAAAATATGTGTCTTGCAAAAGACACAACAGATAAAGGACCATTTATTCAAAATATACAAAGAACACTTAAAACACAACAATAAGAAAATGAACAACCCAATTAAAAAATGGCAAAAGATGTGAACAGACACCTCACCAAAGAAGACACATAGACTGCAAATAAGCATATGAAAAGATGTTCCACATTATATGTCATCAGAGAAATGTAAATTAAAACAACAATGAGATATCACTACATACTTATTAGAATGGCCAAAATCCAGAACACTGACAACAGCAAACGTTGGTGAGGATGTGGAGCAACAGGAATGCTAATTCATTGCTGGTGGGAATGCACAATGGTACAGCCACTTTGAACGACAGTTTGACAGTTTCTTATAAAACTAAACATACTCTTATCACATGATTCACCAGTCGCGCTCTTTGGTGTTTACCTAAAGGAGTTGAAAACACATGTGCACACAAAACCTGCACATTAATATTTATAGCAGCTTTATTCATAGCTGCCAAAATGTGGAACCAAGATGTCCTTCAGTAGGTGAGTGGATAAGCTGTGGTATATCCAGACAATGGAAT